AATTAGATATTATAATGATTGGAAAAAGTCAAAGAGTATAAAATGAAAAATGAAATATCCTGTAATGGAATTCTTAGAAGAGTTTAAATAAAAGTTATCAAAAAGGTTAAATTCAATTTACTGATAGGCTAGTAACAGATTATTATAAATAAAAACAGCGCCTAGAATAATAGAGGAGTAGACACCTTATCAAATAGTAGTTTTAGATTAATAAGAATTCAAGTTATGTGTTTCAAATCTAAATATAATTATTATATTAGGTGCTTTAAGCATTTATTAAATTTTTCATATCTTTATTTGACGAAAAAATAAAATAGAAGAAATATTAAAATATAAGAATTCTTGTATAATATGTGTGAAATTTTACTCTAAATTTTATTTCATTACTTTTTTAAGTGATAATAAAGATAAATAAATGGGAAAATACATTTTAATTTTGTAAATCAAATTCTATTAATTGACCCAAAAAGTATTTCAACCTTGGTATTAGGCGGTAAAAATTATATATATTCATAATTTAGGGCTGAATCAACATTAAATATATTTATTATTTATATATTTTACAGAACTTTAATGAATCAGATATACTCTTTGTTTAATGATATAAAATTATTCAAACTTGGAACTGGAAATTCTGAATTTACTCAGATATAAAAAATTTTAATGTTATATTTTGTTAGAATCTAATATTTCATGATGGAATTTAAGAAACCAAAAAATGGTAGATATGAAAATTTAATTGAATATTATGATCAATTAAATTATAATTTGTAATCTAAAATTTTATTAATAACATTAATAATTTATTTTAAACATACTTATTGTGTACCATAGCAGTATCAATTATAATATTAAACTATTGCAATCCAAAATGTATAATAATAATAAGTAATTTTTCTAATTGTTAATTTAACTTTTAAAATTATTACTAATTATAGTACTAATTATAATTTGTATTAATATTTCACAAATTATTTTTGATATAATATTATCAATTTAGTTAAATTCTAATTTAATTAAATCATTTTTGAGAAATTAAAATAAGAATAATCAAAAAGAACTTAAACATTAAAAATTTTAGATTAAAGTAATTTGGAATATTTTTATTAATATTATGTATAATCCATCCATTTCTTATTCTCTATTCATTCTTGATAATTCAACTCCTCTCTTAAATATAAATAATAATTTATACTATTTTTCCAATCCTTACTCAATATTCCATTTTTCTCTCTTTAATTCTCTCCATTTTCCAATCTTTTTCCCTTCTCTATATTGTCCCTAATGAATGATTTATTTGGAACTATTATTATTATTCATTTTAACAATTTTAATTCATTTTGAAATCTTCATCCAACTCTATCCAGATTCCATTCTCAATTCTTTCTTAATCTTAAAATCCACAACTTCTAAAAATAAAAGAATATACTATTGATATTTACATTTCTTCAAATCTTTTAGAAAATCTAAAATAAGTATCCCATACACCAACTGTTTATCCACATTTATATTCCCCTTAAATAAGTGACCTATTTATCTCTAATATTGATATTATAAATATATATTAATTACTAATTGAAATCATTAGCCAATTCCATCCAAATCCTCTTCTTTAAACCATTATCGTCATATAATCCACCACCTCTAATAAAAAAATTTATTTTGATACAATTTTTCCAAGTTTATATTATTCTTCCAATAGATATTCCATTTACCAGTTTTCTTACCAAAAAAATATTCTCCTTAATATAGAACTTAACCTAAACTAAAAAGATGATAAAATATTTATTAAATTACTTAGAAAAACATTCGTTAATTTCAACCCAACTTCCAATTTTAAAACCTAGCTCATTATAAAAATCACCTTTTCTAAAAATTATATGGTTGATTAATAAATTAAACTACATTTATTCAAATTTATTAGACTTCCTAAGAATGATATCCCATCTATCTATTTTTCTTCCTTATTTATACTAACCATGATAAGTGATTTAGCAATCCCCATTTAATGATATCATTATTTTTAATACTATCTAAAATCATCACTCAACTCAATCCAATAACCTTGCTTAATACCTTTAACATCATAATATCCGCCACCACTAAATATCAGATTAAAGAATAATTGATTTAGTACATTTATTCTAATTAATCTTTTTATTTATATTTGGTAACTCATGACTTTATTTTTTTTCCATTTTAGTATTCTCCCTCATAGGTAACTTAACTATAACTATATAATTAAAATAGTAAACAATTTAATTACTTATAAAAATTATCACTTAGCTCAATCCATATACCATTCTTAATACCCCCATTCTCATATGATCCACCGCCACTAAATTTAAAAATAAATAATAATTTGATTTACATTAATTAAAACTCACTTTAAAATAGACCCTCAATTCTAAAATAAGTATCCCATCTACCAACTTTTTGATAATTTTAATATTCTCCATTAAATGTAACTTATTTTTAACTAAATAATTATGAATAATCTTTATTGTTTTATACCGATAGAAATTATCAATTAAATCTATCCATTTGCCATCCTTTATCCCTTATATGTTGTATGATCCACCACCACTATATTAAAATTGATATAAATAATTTTATACATCTATTCAAATGGATAAACACTTGAAAATCTGTAATTAATATCCCATTTATCAATTTTTTTGTTATTTTTATATTCACCACTATAAGTGATATAAGAATTACTAAATATTAAAGATATCCAATACTTTGAAAAGTTGTCACTTAATTCAATCCATCTACCATTCTTTAAATATTTATCATCATATTTTCCACCACCTCTATAAATGATATTTAAATTTCATAATACATCTCCTTATCTTCATATTCATATTTCCATGTTCCAATTCTTTAACCATCTTAATACTCTCCAACTTAATAAGCTTGTGATAAGCTAACAATATTATTTTATGTTTACGTCCAATAATTCTATATCGGTTCTTTCCAGAAGCCTTACTTTAGTCCATTAGAGTACCATCCACCAATATCTTGTAAGACTTTGCCCTTCCAATTTACTGCCCATCTACCAAGTTAATTTAAATTAGGTTTTGATATTTCAAACCAAAATAGATATTTGATCTATTCTAAGTTATTTAATATTTAAGTAAAATGTTCTAATGAATCTCTAAATTAGAATTTATAATAATCAATACACTCTTAAAATAAACTCATCATTAGTTGAGTATTTTATTTTCTTATTTTTTGTTTATGCAATATAGAATTTAACTTAGAAATATCTGTTCCAATAGTAATCCCATAGTATACCAAGTTATTCAAATTTGCCATTTTACAAAATATTAGGATTTATCTAAATCTAAGTTATTGTATATTAGGTTTGATCTTTAAATAAATTCATTATTATTAGCTTTTAATTTATTTTTTTTATTCATAGTTTTTTTTTAAATTACTTTAATCAATTTTATGAATTTTGTTAAGTTCTAAAAGAAAGTATCATAATTTAAAATTTAAAATAATAGGGAATTTAACATTAGACTATGTAAAACGTTGAAAATGAGTAATCAATTAAGTAATTACTAATTTGAAGTATAAATTCTATACTTCATTTAAAAATTAGATATACTTCATTAATTTTATTTTAACAAAAAGTCATTACAATTTCCAAAATTAACATTATACTAACGAATTACTATAGTAAATGGATATTTATAATTAATTTCCTTTCAAATTAATTAAACGAAGATGAACCCTTCCTAATATTTTAATATTTTACTAAAAGACATTCAAATTAAAAGAATTTAGATATAAAGTTCAAACTGAGCTAATAAATTTCAAAAATAATTGTAAAATTATAGATTTAGGAATACATAGATTATATAGTTCAATGATAGATCATTCATAAATAATTATTTACCTAGATTAGAATTGTAATTTATTTAGAACATTTGTAATTAGTGTATGCATTCATTAATCTAAAAATATGTTACATTTCATTTGAACATTTTTAGAAAGAAATTCAACAATCTCAATTCAGAGAAAACTGGGATATATCTTTAGAAAAGTTAAGAAAAGATAATTAATATAATTTAACTAAACTAGTTTACTTATTGAATTTTTCTAGAGACAATTATAAAATAACCTGAGACTTAAAATAATAACATAGAATACATTTAAAATACAAGTTTTAATGATGAAAGGATGTTAAATAAATAAATCTAATAATTAATAAATTATAATGATAGAGAAATCCCTAAATATTTTAAGTAGAAATTTGTTCTGGTACTCTGAAAAAACTAAAAAATTAAACGTGATTGATCAAATTGGAATAAGATAGTTTTATTTAACTTATTAATAGCTATCAAGTAATATTTTGTTAAGACAGGAGATGAAAAGATTTAATATTCATTTTGTGAAGGTGATCTTAAAAAAAAAATGCATATAGGAAAATGGTGAGCTATATTGATGATGCAGGGGATAATTTAGAGTAAAATAATACTAAATAGTTCACTAAATTATACAAAAATGATGAAAAAACATTGTAAGTGTATAGAACAAATTTAAATTTTATTGAAAGTAAGCTTAATTGAATAAGCTATTTTGATAAAAAAGTTAAGTATGAGAATGGCTAAAGTATAGGAAATTGGAATAATTTTCGTAGGATAACACAACAAAATGAATTAATAGAGGCATTAAGTTTGCAATGATTTTCAGATAAAAAATTTTTAGATAAATCTTAAATAATATATATAGTGAATATCAAAATGGAATAAAAGGTTGCTAATTTAGATATGAGGTATATAGGAGTAGAAATGTAATTTTAAGATATAAAATTAAGAGGTGAGTTTAAAAAAGTATGAAAAAAATGAATAAATTATTGATAAATTATATATTTTTAGTGATTAAAATCATTAATAGATAATATTTTAATTTTTCTATTCATTTTATAAATCCAATCTATTGATTAGAGATCTTAATTTGATAATAAGTTACAAAATATTTCAGTTAATAATCATCCTTTAATATTTTATTATATTAAATACATTATATTTAATTATTATGCATTTTATATTAAAATAAAAATATTAAATAGATATATTTTTCATATATAAAATTAATTCTATAAATTTTTTCCTCTTATCAAAAAGAAGAAATAGTTTGGAAATAAATATATAAATTTCTATCAAATAATGATTATTATTTAATATCATATATTTCTCCTTTTATCAATCATACGATTGGGTATTACTTTCTTAATTCGTCACTTCTTAATTTGTCACTTCTTAATTCGTCACTTCTTATCTTATTTCATATTCTGGCATGTATATTTCTGAAATGTCCCTCAATTCCTATGATCCTCCTCCATTAAATAAAATTCCAGTGGTTTGTGAATGACATGAACATAACATAACAAGAAAAAAAAATAGTGTAAAAATTCCTATTAATGTTACAAAAAATATGCCAATTTGGTATTGCAACAAATGTAGAGAAGGAATAAAAAGAAGTGTTAAAATAAAACATCTAATTGCAGCCCATTTAAAAGACTTCCAACAAATAGTTCCTTCAATTTCTTAATTACACTTGATACAAATCCTTTTAGGTTGATATTATGAAGTTAGCAAAGTTGAATACATTTATAGTTAATTCTCAAATTTTTAAATTAATATTTAAGATATCAAATTATCTTTAATAAATTATATAATGGCAAAATTTTGTTAAAATCAATAAAATATGATTTCGAAAAATTTTAAGTTTTACATAATTTTTTGTTTCTCTGATTAATTTATTTTCTTCTAATTAATGAATTGAATAAGAACGAATACTCTATTTTAACTAAGATATTATAATAATTTTTTATTTATGTCTTATAATAAACAGTTATTACATTGATATTTGGATTATCATCTAACATCTCTTTCATCATAATAAGATTATTAAATTGGATAGTATCTTTAAAGTTATTAAAACATTATTTCAATATCTCATATATTATTAGATATCAGAACACATAACTGCCCTTAATAATAGAATAAATTATCTTAATATAGGTAAATTCTCAAATTTCCTCTTATATTGGCTCTGAATGTATACTATTTGATCTTTTTATTCTTTGTATATTAATATTGAAATTCAAAACCCATTTAAAGAGGTAGTTTATATTTATTAGAAATTTTTTTCTTATGATTTGAACAATTAAAAGGAATATTTTGGATATTGATCTTTAAGTATTAAAATATCTATTGCAATTCTTTTTTAAACTTTGAAGTCTTATATATTTGAAATAGATATGTAATTATATTATTCTATTGATCAACCTTAATTCATAGAATATAATTAGCTTCAATTAAATTAATTTAATTTTAGTGTTATTAGATATAATTCAAAATTTTACAATATATACATTATTGTTAATGATTTAGTTATTGCTCTATTCATAAGAAATTTATTCATCATTTTATTCCAATGTAATATAATTATATTTTTATTTCATAAATTAAATTGATTATGAATATCCCATTTTCATATGAGGTGGCTTAAATATCTTATAAACAATCTTGAACTTTCCTATTAAATGTATAGAAGATGACAAGAATTTATTTATTTACACAATAATTATATTTTAAGTTAACGATTTGTAGTATTATAATAGTATCATACTTTGATAATAAGAATACTAAAGAGTAATATAAATGACATATATGTATAAAAATTGACTTTGCTAATTCTTATATATTTGTTGTTAGTGTTTTGAATTTAAAAATAATAAAAATATATGATTGACTTTATTGAAATAATGTCTATAGATAATATATTATGTTTTAATAGATTTGTTCATTAAGACCTCAATAAAATTTATTTTATATAAATAAAATAGGAATTTTTATAATTTAATTACGACCATTATTACGCAATTTTCATTTAAGTATGATATATCAATTTAAATTGAAGTTATTTCATTTATTTAATGTAAGTATATCAAGAATAAACCTTCACAGAATCAAAATAATTGACTTATGCTGAGGCATTAACATAAGTTGGTGGGGCAGGGTTATATTAAAAAAGAGCTTTATTAATATTTGGATTGTAATAACTAATAACCAGGTTAATTAGAAATATTAAATTTTTAGTTGGATATTGTTTTCACCTGTTTTCTTTTTTATCAAACCAACAATAGATTGTCGGTCTAATGCTGAATGTCTAAATTAGTGTTCTTCTGAATCATTAGATGAGAAATGTTTAGATTATGTTTGTGTAAATGATTTTAATAATTTAGGATGATTCAATACGTAGAAAATTTGTTGTTGGTGATCATTAAATACAGCTTTCTATGCTTTATTACCTTGTCACAAAGCTCTATAATCAATAATCTAATCAACTGTTTATCTTGGATCTGTCTCAGGATTGATTATTTTCTCATTTATTGGTGATAATTATGGTAGATAATTGTCATTGTCAATTTCTTGGGCTATGACTTCATTTGGAGCCCTCTTAGTTAAAGTATTCTATATGAATAATCTTTAAGTTTGCTATAAATTATTAGATGACAGCTATAGGACTTTTCTTCTTAGGTTTTGGAGGTAATCCAACAATTACTGTACATTATTAATTTATTGATGAACATTCCTGTAATTTATATATATCAAAGATTTTATATAGAGGGTAATTTTAGAGAAGTCTAAAATGTTGGTGTCTAAGTGTTTTTTGCAATTGGTGAATTTGCTATTATAGCATTAGCATATTTTATTACTTATTGGAGATGGTTAGCAGTTTCAGTTGCAATACCATCTATTTTATTAAATATTGGTAACCTTTGATATTTGAATCTCCTTAATTTTTATATACAAAAAATAAGAAAAAATGTGTTAATAAATAAAAATAGATGATTTGGCAACTAAT